AACTGTCTGACGACTTGCAGGCTGCAAATATTTTTCCGATATTTATGGTGGTTTTTTTGTTTTGTTTTTTTAAAAGCTCTTCTTGCTGTTATTGTGATGAGTGGTACGTAATAGTAAAGCCATATGTGCATGGAAACTGGTGGTAACAGTTGGGTGGAAAACAGTTTGACAGGATAGAGTGTGCTCCAGTGAAATGTGTGCTGGTACCACCTGACTCTCACCCCCGTCTGCACAGCACAATCGGCCTGTAAAATATGGAGCCTGACTTCCAGATCGGTGCAAATGACAAATGTTCTACTAATAAAAAAAAAAACAACTCGCCGTGAATCTCCCGGCCAGCGTTTCCACTGTTTCAGACAGTTTGCGGTTCAGTTTAGGAAATGCTTTCCTTCTCCGCAGAGCACAAGAGATATAGAGTCTAGGATGAAGAATGAAACCAGGCTGAAGCTGTTCACGCTGGATCCGGACACACAGGTAAATTAAGGCGCACTAATGTTCACTTTGTCCCATTTGGTGATAACACCCGACCCAGTTTAATGCTATACCGTCTTTTGAACTATCTTTAGAAACTCGATTTCTCAGGAATAGAGCCAGACGTGAAGCAGTTTGAGGAGAAGTTTGGCAAGCGTGTGCTGGTGAACTGCAACGACCTCTCGTTTAATTTGCAAAGCTGCGTGGCCGAGAACGAGGAAGGGCCAACAACAAACGTAAGCTGGATCTCTTTTTCTTTTTCTTTCCGCATCAGGCCTTAAATAACAGAAATATCATTATCTGCCTGACTAAGGATGGATGAGATGGGTTTGTTACAGCAGGCCAGATGGACTTGTCTTATTATTTGAGCTGGTGAACGACTCCTGTTGGCATAGCAACCAGCCTCCAGGCTCAGAAATGGCAAACAATTTGTGTAATGAAGTCTGATGTCCTGCTGTCCCTCCCAGCAGAAACTGTCTATTAAAACTTCAACATGGTCCACACGCACGCAGAGCAAATGCTTCGAAGTGCGTTCACGCAGCTCCCTCCACTGAAATTTTACAGCAATAGCTGTTAGCTGTTCGTGAGACACGTGTCTATCAGTCCAGCTTTTTCTCTGATGCCAGTAGTCAAATATATTTATATGTACTGTAAAGTCACGTGACACTAGATCCACTGAAATACTACAATGTAATTAGTTATATTTATGCTTTTATTATTTAATACTCTTTATTTTTATCTACACTACACCAGTGCACATCACATTAAGTTCAGTAAAATTTGTTATAGTTAGCTGTGGCCCTTGGGAGCATTTTATGTGGCCTGTAGGCACAATAAAGGACAAATACACTGCTTTTTTTTATCAACGTCATACTTTATCCTTTAAAGTATGCTTTATCCAAGTCATACTTTGATACTTAGTGTAGTACAAGATGAAAGGAGCCATCATAGCAGCCCAAAGACATCACAGCATACCCAACACATGTGCATAGTAGTTAAGTCTGATTGGCAGGACTATCAGACTCGTTCTAATAAATTGACACTGTGCTCTTTCTCCAGGTGGAGCCATTCTACATCACCCTGTCGCTGTTTGACATCCAGAATGGCAGAAAAATCTCCTCTGATTTCCACGTTGACCTAAACCACCCCTCTGTCAGGGGCATGATGCCCAATAACAGCAGTCAGTATATGAACGGGGGAGGCGATGGCCGACCCGACAGCCAGCGGTTGATCCACGGGATGCCAGAAGCAGCCATGCAGTATCCCAGACAGGTTAATAAACACTTGAAAAACACAGATTCTTGTTTTTCTTCATCTTAATGACTGCACTGGGGAAATCTACCAATACATATTCAAATCTGTTCTAACATTTCGATTCATAGGGAGTGTTTTCGGTAACATGCCCACACCCAGATATCTTCCTGGTGGCCCGCATAGAGAAGGTCCTTCAGGGGGGTATCAACCACTGTGCCGAGCCATACATGAAGAGTTCAGACTCCACCAAGGTACTGACCCCGTGTTCCCCTAGAATCAGCAGATTCCACCAAATTATTCCACATTATGCAAAGATAATCTTCCCAGTTTGCAATCGCTGACCAGTTGCGCAGAAACTCAACAAAAGCATTGACTTTGGCTCTACAAAGTAGGTGCACACCCCGAGGGCAGAATAGTGGGTAGTAATGTGATTCAGTCCAGCATGTTGGTCGAAGGACTGTGTGCGTGTGTTTGTTTTCTCAAATGTGTGTGTACTCTGGTTGAGATTGGCAGCTTGCTGAATATTGTTACAGTTACTGTAAGAGACGAGGTCCAGCTTGTGCATGTTTGTGTCGAAGCTCAAGTGTGTTCCTGTTTTGCACCAGGTGGCACAGAAGGTCCTGAAAAACGCCAAGCTGGCATGCAACCGGTTAGGCCAGTACAGGATGCCTTTTGCCTGGGGAGCAAGGTACTTTTCCTCCTTAAATACATCTGCATGCTATCTCTGTGAGTTTTACATCAAAACCACAATTCAAACGGACATAAACCAACTCCACAAGTGCTTAAGGAAGTGATTTTATAGTGATTTTAAATCCCAAATGTCACCAAACATTGCTACGATTAAACCGTCGCAGAGAAAGAATTAAGCATTAAGAATTAATTGCTCTACTTCAACAAATCAAGTTCAACCAAAACTCAAATATATGCGTGTTTCCTCTGGCAATGTAGTGCTGCTAAGTAGTGGCCTGTTATCCAATAAGTGTGCTCTTTTTTTTTTTCCAAAAAGACTTAATGTTTGAGCCCATAAAATTAGCAAGAAAGCATTGACTGAGGTCAAGACTGAAAGGTGTTTTCCCATAGTCTTATATAGGAGCCCAGGTCTTTTTGCATCCAGAGCTTATCGCCATCTGGTGGCCTTCAGCGTACCCAAGCATACGTGTCATTAATGTTAGCATCCTGTTACAAGCATTGTCACAGGTGGATAGATGCTTTCTTCTGCATAGCCGTGCGGTAGGTGAGTCATGTGGGCAAGGGAAACCTCTACAAACATTATCTTTAAAACTGGACAACATGCACTAACATGATCTAGATAGACAAAAGTCACTACAGGGCGGAAAAAAACATGTAATTTGATGTTTAAAGGGAACTATTCCTGAAGGTTTTCTCTTTTTTATATCAATGTATGCTTAAATTTTGGGGTGGGTTTTTAATACTCATTGTGAAACTGTTTCCCTGGGCTCTAGTGATGATGATTTGTTAGTGGTCTGGTGACATATTATACACTCAACATTTACTCCAAAACCTGAATAAATAAAGAAATGAACAAATATTGTGAAGTCTAGTGTAGTCCAGCAAGCTATCAGTCTCCTTTGTTCAAATATAATAATCGATAAAAAGGAATTTAGATGCCTCTGACTTTTCTTCTTTCTTGCAGACCTTTGTTCAAAGATGCTTCAGGGACTCTTGACAAAACTGCTCGCTTCTCCGCTCTATACAGACAAGACAGCAACAAACTGTCCAACGACGATATGCTCAAGCTGCTGGCTGATTTCAGGAAGTTAGTAATGTTTCTCCAACTGCACTCTAATATAAACTGTCTGAATAGTTTGCAGGTGCTCTGTAAGGAAAATATGAGCCTATAGGTTGTGTTTTGGCAAAATGCTGGACTATTAGTATATAAAAATCAGATTGTTGCTCAGAAGTGTTAACGTGTTCACATACGGCTCATCTAATTTCTCGACGTCAGCCGTCTGTTTCTTATTCGGCCTGTGGTAAACGATAGCAAAGGCTTAACTTGAGTTTATTTTCCTTTCCTCAGGCCGGAGAAGATGGCCAAGCTGCCTGTAATCCTAGGAAACCTCGATGTTACCATTGACAACGTAGCCCCAGACTTGTCAAGTAAGCCCTCTAAATTCACCCTATGAAGCCAAGAGATGAGAACTGCCTCTGCTCAGACTAGACAGGTTACATTGTCTGCAGGCTGTTTATTTGTTCTGTCCTGTTTCTCTCTTATAGATTGTGTTACCTCATCCTACATCCCTGTGAAGCAGTTTGATGTCAGCGAGAAGAGCAACATCTTCGTTGAAGTGGAGGAGTTTGTGCCGTGCATTGCCAAATGTTCTCAGCCTTTCACCATCTACAACAATCACCTCTATGTCTACCCGAAGCACTTGAAATACGACAGCCAAAAGTCATTTGCGAAGGTATTTCATTTATTCTGCGGTGTTGTTTTGCTGGTTTATTGATGTAGGAGCACAGGTATATTAAATGTTTTGCCTCTGTGAAGGTTTCTCGCAAATTTCCAGCCAGTTTATTTCAGATTTGCCGTTTGTTTTTGCCCTAAGGCTAGAAACATAGCTGTCTGCATCGAGTTCAGGGACTCGGATGAGGAAGAGGCTGTAGCACTTAAGGTAAAATGCATGCAGGAAAATATGCGGAAAAATCCCCCGAGGATAATCCTATCAGTCGGAGAGTTAATGGGCTATTGTTGTTGTTTCTCAGTGCATCTACGGCCGGCCTGGAGGACCCTTGTTTACCAAAAATGCCTTTGCCTCAGTGTTACATCACCAGCAAAATCCTGAATTCTACGATGAAGTAAGCACACTCTACCTAACCCTTAAAAGAAAAAAAAATCCTTGTAAGTTCTAAACATTAATGCACAACAGAGTGTTTATTTGTGCTCCTCTGCTTCAGTTTAAGATTGAGTTGCCAACCCAGCTCCACGAGAAGCATCATCTTCTCTTCACCTTCTATCACGTCAGCTGCGATAGCAACAGCAAGGCCAGCACCAAAAAGAGAGAGCAGGTTGAGATGCAAGGTAAGGCACCGTGAATAAAAATAACACTCTCGGCACAGATATGCAAAGCTCTTATTTGATGACGTCCTACTCTGTCTCTGCTCTCAGTTGGTTACGCCTGGCTCCCGTTGCTGAAGGACGGTCGGGTGATCATGAATGAGAGTCAGATCCCGGTTGCCGCCAACCTACCTGCCGGATACCTCAGCTGTCAGGAGGGTGCCAGCAAGGTGCAGTGCACTACTAGCCATGAAAGTGCTGATGAAAACCGATTGAGGTTATACATAGCACAAATATGAAACTGCTGAGTAGGATATGCTCTGTCCAGATTGCATGTCAGACAGTTGCTTAGTGCTGCTAACCCACTTAACAAACGCCTTTTAGACACTGGATAGGAGTTCTCAAGTGTCCCTCTACGTATGTTCTCATTCACTTTATGATACGATTGTCCAGCTATATGGAGCTGAGAGCTCCATATAGCTGGAGAGAGAGCTGAGAGATCTTTTTAAAATATATTAAGTCACTTCTTCCCCAAAGTCTCTAACAGAAGTTTGACTCAGTTCAAAACAGGTTGTGGTCTTGGGAGCTAGCTTTGAGAGACAATAGCTCACCCATTGGTGGCAACCGTGTCTATGGAGGTAGTGACAGAAACGCGCTGTTGCTTTTTCTCATTTTACAGCATTTGGGTCCTGAAGTGAAATGGGTGGATGGAGGAAAACAGTTATTCAAAGTTTCCACCCACCTTGTGTCCACTGTCTACACTCAGGTTAGTTTTTCGCCCCTGTTTCGTCTGCACCCTACCAGAGCGTTATTTCTTTTGTGTTCTCGGTTTGTGCTCTTCATAGCAACAAAGGTTTTGTTTCGCTTTGTCTTTCAGGATCAGCATTTGCACAATTTTTTCCATTACTGTCAAACCATTGCATCAGGCGCCCAGGCGTCAGGAGGAGAGCTGGTCAAATACCTGAAGGTAAATCAGTCACTGCAAAATTTAAGGGTTCCAATTAACTAGAATTCATGAACCCTATTATTAACATTTAAAGCGCTAAATAGACAAGCCCCTGCTTATATATTAGAGCTACTGAGACCTTATCACTGCAGCTGACCTGCTTTAAAACCAGAGGCGATTTCACTTTGGAGGCTGTAGCACCCAACCTGTGGTTTGTTTTAAACAACTGCTAAGAACTCATTGTTTATAGATTAGCTTTCCTTTCATCTTCCCCCCATTATTTTGGGCCGTGGTTTAAATTTATTTATGTGTGTGTTGGCACATGTATACTTCTCTAACGTATGGCTTTTATTCAAACTGTGAAGCAGTTTGTAACTCTGTGTTTTGAAAAGTGTTATACAAGCAAAGTGGTTGTTATTATTCGGCATACACTCTTGTTGTTGTTGGAAGGAAATGCTTATTTTTGTTTGGTTGTAACGCAACAGTCACACTGGGCTGGTGCTGAATCACATGCAGATTAGTGATCTCTGTTTTTTTGTGTGTGCGTGTGTTGTGGCTTGCCAATAGCGCACCCTTCTGGACAGTTTGTGCACAGCTTGTTCAATTTCCCCGTTGATACAGAGTTTAACTGCAGAGGCTGGGCTGATACCAGTAAATCTGTCAGAGGTCTTCTCCTAGTTTGCATGATTTCTTTTCCATATTTTTCTGTGATACTGGCAGCTCAGTTATCGCCTTTTCCGTCGCTAACTGTCAGTCCACGGGAAACTCGCTTTACTTTTCCCCTGGTGAACGTTGACACAGAGAGCCACGTTTGGTCCAGTGCATCTCTTGGGCTACAATATAAACAGAGCAGTGAACACAAACAATAGCCAGAGGGTCAAACGGCAGGTCAGCTGTGCCGACTGGCAACCCGCCAAATTACTTGGCAGGCTCGTGTTAGTTTCCTGTGCGCAGGCACCGATGCACCAGTATCTGCACTCAGCCATGTTCCAGGCGCTGAAGCATACAGCGTGGATGATTAGCACAGTGTTATCCACACGTGTACTCCTGTTGTGAGTAGATTAGCTTTCCCTGAAGGTCTTCTCAATTAGCCTTTCATGCACATTTTAAACGTGTTTTTTTTTTTAAAAACATTTATTTCCCTCATTTTACACAAAAAGGTTTGTGAACAAATCCTTTGTAAACATATCTGTGGTGATGCTTTAATCTCAGAGTCTGCATGCCATGGAGAGTCACGTGATGATTAAGTTCCTGCCCACCATCCTCAATCAGCTGTTCAGGGTGCTAACCAGTGCCACCCAGGAAGACGTGGCAGTCAACGTCACCAGGCAAGTCTCCATGAAGTGCTTCATCTCTATAGAGCAAATTAAATTCCATGCAATTTACTGTTATTGAAATATCAGTCATATATCATTATATATGCTAAAAATATTGAAAGAAAGCAGCTCAGTTTGCCATCGGCTAGATATCGTGTTATGTGTGAGGGGTAGTCACATATAAGCTGTTGCTTCTGCCTGCACCCTTTTTGCCTGTAATATAACTGCTAAATTCCTTTTTTTTTTTTCCCTTTTGTCTTGCTGAGATCAGAGAGAAATGAATGAATTCATGAATGGAAGTTAGTTTTCCAGTGTTGTGAGAGCAGAATCTTAGCGTAGAAACTGTTATCTCACTTGAGCTTTTGCCTTTCGTCCTGTTAGAGTCATGATTCACGTTGTGGCGCAGTGCCACGAGGAAGGTTTGGAGCACTACCTTAGATCTTACGTGAAGGTAAATTTCACATGTCAGATCCATATTTCTGTTTTATTTGACCTTTACATAATCATATATAGTCACATATGAATTGACATGTCTGTCTTTGCGTGTCTCTGATGCAGTATGTCTTCAAGACTGAGCCATACACGTCCTCCACCACCCGAACGGTGCACGAGGAGTTGGCTAAAGCCATGACTGCAATCCTGAAGCCTTCCACTGACTTCCTCACAAGTAACAAGCTGCTCAAGGTAGCACATTTGTTCTTATTTAAAGGATTACACAGTATTTAATTATAGCCGTCTGTTCTCTAACTGATAATTGTCCGTTGTGCAGTACTCCTGGTATTTCTTCGAAGCCTTAGTCAAATCCATGGCTCAGTACTTGATTGAGAGCTGTAAAGTAAAGGTAAGTTCGCCGCAGCATGTGTGCTTGACTCCAAAGTGTCCGCTAATGCCCGCTTTATTACACTTTAGGTTCTTTACAGTAGTTTGCAGCATGCCGGGTGTTGTGGACAGCCGGAGCACCACAGTGGAAGTTTTATGTATCCACAGTCTGTCCCACACTGCTGTGCAGTTTAATTAGCGGCATTTGTTCGAACTCCATAGGCAACCACATCCCCGTGTTTAACATCCACCACTATGATGTGTCCTTAAAATGCTGCTTCTCATGTGTAGGACTGTCACAATCCATGGATTAAAGAAATCATTTTAAGCTTGAGCTGAAAAAATAAGCTCACCGTTTCTGTTACATTTAACTATTTTATGCATCTGTAAATGTAAGCTTACTATTTTAACCATTTATCTGCTACATAGCTATTTTTACATTAGCTCAAAGAGCAAATTATATCTGTTTCAAGGATAAAACAAGGATGAATTCATATTTGAAGTTAAAGTCTGAGTATTTATTTACTGTTGAAGGATGTAAGATTGACTCAAATAAACCACAATTCCCACATTTTGAACCTTTGATCTTTCCATGGGAGTTCTTTGGGATGTTTCATGCTGAATAACAACATTTGTAACAACTTACCTGCTGTGCCCTCCAGCTGTCCAGGAACCAGCGCTTCTCTGCATCGTTCCATCACACTGTGGAGACCTTGGTCAACATGATCATGCCACACATCACGCAGAAATACAAGGACAACCTAGATGCTGCCCGGAATGCCAACCACAGCTTGGCAGTCTTCATCAAGGTCAGAAACCAGAGATACTTTATCACAGATGGTGCTTTTCTTTTAGGTAAATGGTAACTAATATACTGTGCTCTCTTTATTTTGTAGCGTTGTTTCAACCTGATGGACAGAGGCTTTGTGTTCAAGCAGATCAACAACTATATCAACTGTTTTGTGCCTGGAGACCCAAAGGTGGGCCGACAAAACAACGTGCAACAGCCTTTATAGAAATAAATTGCATAACAACTTATTTATTCAACTTGAAGTCATAAAGCAAAGCCTTATTAACAGCCATAATTCTTAATCGAGGTTTATTCTCAATACAGACTCTGTTTGAGTTCAAGTTTGAGTTCCTGCGAGTCGTGTGCAACCACGAGCACTTCGTCCCTTTAAACCTGCCCATGCCGTTTGGAAAGGGACGGATTTTGAGATTTCAAGGTGAGAAAGTTGTGTAATGACTGCTAAAGTGTTTGCATATTGTGTTCGTATGCTGCTTGCATATAAAATGCTTTGCTTTGGAAGGGCAGCAGCGCAAAAGTAGTTCATGAACTTTTTTACAAAATAAAGCACTTGCACCCACAGAACATACTGCATACATACAATAAAATACAGCGTTTTTTTTTAAATAAATAAAATGCTCATGCAGTCGATTTCTTTTGCTTTTAAAAAATGTACACTGTGTTTGTTTTGTGTTTTCCTCAATTAGCCTCATTACCTCCATGTAATACTTTGGAGTCATGTGACACTCCAGTAGGTAGGTGGAAGGTGTCGATCGTTTATTAGTTTCAAATTTCCTCTAAAATCTGAACCTGTCAGTTCTTTAAGCTTTCCTGTAAGCTGGTTCATCTGGGATTTCAGGTTATGATCTTGTCAGATTAGACCGTTTATTACTTGTCATCATCATCAGGTTTGGGGGATTTGGTGTGCTTGTAGTTTGTTTGTTTTTTGGGGGGGGTTTCTATCTTGAACTGGTTCGGGGGTTTATGGCTATACTGAGTAAACTATTTTCCATCATTCCTGAGAAACCAGATATCTTTTTAATTCTTGTGTGCTTCAAATGCAGGTTTTAAAAAGATAAAAGCAAAAGGTTTCTGAATAAAGTCATGTGTTTGGGTTTTCTTTACTCGTCTAAAATGCTGCTGGAAACCATTGCTGTTGTTCAGCCGCTAGCTTTAGTGGAAGTGCAGCTGATGTGGAAGTGCAGCTCAACCACAGTGTGAATCTGTCAAACATAAATGTTTGAGCTTTTCCCTTTGTTTTCTCCTCATTTTAGACTGTTTGATGATGTTTATAAGAATCGTCAGCCTATAATGAGTTTTAAAGCTGGCTGCAGTAGCTATACTCTCTAAATGTTGATCATTTTTTTCTGATTACTGTCTCTGTGTCAAATTGGTAAGTGAGTTTTTTGGGTTTCTCCTTTCACACTCTTCATCTACTTCTCCTGTCGGTCAGTCCTAGTCTCCTTATCGGCCCATTTATCCTTACAGACCTCCAGCTGGATTACTCGCTGACGGATGACTTCTGTAAGAATCACTTCCTGGTTGGACTGCTGCTCAGGGAAGCCAGCGCAGCTCTGCAGGAGTTCAGGGAGATTCGTCAGATTGCCATCCAAGTGCTGAAGAGCCTCATGATGAAGCATGCGTTTGACGATCGCTACACCTCAAAAGTAAGCAGTGTTTTCACACCCCTGTCCCTGTCTTTATGAGTGTGTGTGTGTGAGACGTGCGTGATATTGAGACATTTCTTTAAATTATTCATTTTGTTTTTCAGAGCCAGCAGGCCAGGTTAGTCACCCTGTACTTGCCCTTGTTTGGTCTGCTCCAAGAAAACGTCAACAGGCTAAATGTGAAGGAAGTGTCGCCGTTCACCGTCAACCACTGCACCAGTGTAAGGGAGCCACCTAGTGTGTTTTCTGAGTATTATGTATTTATCCATATGCTGTGTCCATTTGATCCAAATTTTAATGCATGTAAAAAATATCTCAATAATACTACAAAATAAATGTAACATATGAATATAATATAATTGTTTGTGCTTTTGATCAGAGATTTTAGAGCTGTCCGTGTAGTTAACTTTCATTTAAAAAAACACACACACACACAGTGTTTTATGTGGGTTTGATTCATTAAACTCTTTATTTGTCCTACAGAATGGAAGAGATGATTCTCTCCATACCAACACTTTGATGACACCTCCGAGGTCGAGCACCTTTCTGGACACCGGCTTCCACAAAGATGTTTTTGGAGCCATCTCTGGCACCGGTAAATGATAAGACATTCCTTTTTTCCCCCTTTCAGGTTACTTTGTGTTTATTTTATGTAACATCTCACTCTTATTCCTTTTTACAGCTTCACCTCATGCGGCGTCCACCCCCAACATTAACTCTGTGCGCCACGCCGACTCTCGTGGATCGCTCATCAGCACTGATTCTGGGAACAGCCTGCCTGAGAGGAACAATGACAAGGGCAGTTCCCTTGACAAGGTATTTGACAGAATGAGCTTTGAGATTCCCGGAAAATGTTTATGTATATGTATTAGAAATCCAATTTAGCCTTTCTTTGACACATGTGTCTAACATGCAATTCAAAATGGCACTTCAGGCACATCAGATGTCCCCTTATTATGGGAAAAACTGCCACATAAAGTCTCTCTTTGCTAACTTGTGCCATTAACTCCTCACCTTCACTGTATGGCTGGCCATGGCAGACGGAGAAGTTTCTACGGAGACACTCTGTCAATGTCCTGCAATTCTTTACGGAGACTGAGGAGTCCATGCTCTCCGTGAACTCCAAGCGTGCCACCATGGACTTCTCCCTGCTCACTGTCCCCAGTGTGCCAGAGAGGGCCCTGCAGTCCAGCAGTTCACTTCAAGTACAAAACACCTCCTTGCTCCACACAGTCCCTCCTAGGAGTGTCCCATCTGGGAATGATAGTGTGTGTGTGCGCAGGTGTGTGTGTTGATGCCCTAAACTCTAAGCCCTTACTTTGCCAGGAGATTGTCAGGCTTTGTCCTGTTTATTCTCTGTTGCTGTAAAGCAGACGTGTTTTACCTCAGGGCCTCATGAGCGTTTAGCGCTTTTCTTGTTCCAGATGGTGATAAGCATGCATGCTTTTGATTTCCTCTCATTCGTGCTGTGTGATTTCTTGTCTCTCTCTGATAAACAGCCTCAAACTAAATCTGAGAAGATTTAAACACAAAGGACTGGATTTTTGTTGTTTTGTTTCAGTATTGGAACTGCTTTAGTTTCTGGTGTGCAGCAGCTGCTTTATTTCCCTACTGAGGGGGCAAGAAGACACACAACTATTAGCAACTCAAGAATAGCTCAAGCCCCAAAAGTGTACCAGACTTTGAAGTTCACATCAGCCTTTCCAACCTAATTTTAGCCTTAAAGTTCTCCAGTCTGCAAAACACCCTTTAAAAATCCAAAGCAACAGCATCATGCTTTCCATGAAGTCATCCCCAGCTAGTTTCATGGTCTAGACTAACTGCTGGCAAAGGAACGTGCTTGGTATATAGCCAACTTCTTGCTGCGGTAAAGCTGCTGCTCCGCTGCTTTGGTTTTGTTTTTTTCCCTGCCGTGTGCCTCAGCTGGGGGAACAAATCCCTACAACATCTGGATGAATCATTTCACTGCAGTGTAGTTCTCTGACCTTCTGAAAACCTCTTAAGTATTTGGACAATAATACAGTTTTTGTAGTTTTGCCTCTGTAAACCTCAAAAAGTGAGTTTGAAATGAAACAATCAAGATATGATTAGAGTGCAGGTTTCAGTTTTATTCAGAGGATTTAAGAAAAGTATTGCATTACTGTTTAGGAATAAGCAATTGGACAATTTACTGACAAGCATTTTATGGCCAGGTGAGGTCTATTTGCTCACTATTCCATGGCAAAGTAAGCAGATAAAAGACCTGGCGTGTTTAACTTGTATTTGGTAGCGTGGCATTCCCTCACTGGAACGCTCAGTATTAGGTTTCATTCTCTGCCCAAAACTGATCATGCAGCACTTTACAGTGTAAAAGGACATTGACCCAAAGCATACTGGAAAACCAACCTTAACGTCTATAATGGCAAAGAAATTGCATATTCTTCAGTGACCATAACAATCTCAGCAGAGCATGCTTTTTCAGTTACCAAAGACAAAACTGAAGCAGCAACTGAAGGTGGTGACACGAGCCTGACAGAGCATCTCAAAGGAGGAAATACAGCATTTGGTGATTTCGCGGGGTTCTAGACTAAAGACAATCACTGGATATCAAATATTTTGCAGTATTAGAAACTGTTCTTTTGTTTAGCTATTCTAGTTTGCTAAAGTAATGTTGAGCCTCTGAAATGGGGATTTATGTGTGCTGCAATTTCTAAATGGTTAATGCAATACTTTTGTTAAACCCCTTGAATTAAAGCTGAAAATCTAGACTTTAGTCGCATCTTGATTGTTTAATTTAAAATCCACTGTTGTGGGGAAAGACTGGGGAATAGTATCATTATCCAAATGCTTATAGCCCACATCACACAGTTGTTCCTACATAAAAAAAAGTTTTAAGCCAGAGCCAAACAAGAAAATCCTCAGCGTTATATTCAGTCGTTGTGCTATGCTTGTATTATTGATTGCTGTTTTTTCAAAATGGTGAAAAATATCGTGAAAATGCACTGATGCTATCAAATAAGGCAACACTGTGGTAACTCTCAAATAACCTGGTTAGTTTTTCAAATCTTACTTGGAGCCAACACACTGGTAGGATTATGTATTTTTCTATCCATGCCTGATTGTCCCGTTTGTCCTGCAGAACCAACCTGCCTCGACTCTGGGAAGCCCGCTGTTGCGATGTGATAAACTGGACCAGGCAGAGATCAAGAGCCTCCTCATGTGTTTCTTACATGTGCTCAAAAGCATGTCTGAGGGTAAACTCTCATCTCTGTGACAGCTCCTGCTCTTCCAGCTTTACTTAAATGTTTAAACTACGTTTAAAAAAAACAAAACAAAAGAAGTCTCCACAGTGTCCATCTCTGTCTCTTTTAGATGCTCTGTTCACATACTGGAACAAGGCATCATCTTCTGACCTGATGGACTTCTTCACTTTAGTCGAGTAAGACATCTTATAGAGAATAACCAGCTATTACACGCATTGCAGAAAAACACATGGCAACTGAGGTTTTTTTTTTTAATTTTTATACCCACTTTCCATTTCTCAGAGTGTGCCTCCATCAGTTCAGATACATGGGAAAGAGATACATTGCAAGGTAATGTTGCTGTCACCCATACAGGATTTCAGGCTTCTCAGCACTTGTTTATCATGAGAAGACAAATCAACGCAACTTGTCCATTAGGTTTTATGCAGTTTATGAGTATCCAGCTATTTGTTGTCTGTAAGCCATCATGTTGCTTACTATTGAAGGGTCTGACTGTACTGTTATTTTAATTTGTTTTGATCAGAGTACACGTACTGTACTTGAATCACAGTTGGGAACTCGCCGCGACTCCCAGAAGGCTTTATGTATTCACTCTGTCTAACCCCCCACCACTGTTTCTGTCTTTGTCCACTGAAACGCTGGCAAGTTTAACATAATGAAATAAAACCTGGCTCCTGCCCTCTCCTGCTTGGGTAAGCCTGAAGGTGAAACTGAGAGCAATTGCATGATAACTTCTCACCGTTAAAAGAAAAAAAGTTGCAGTGCTGTGACACATCCGACGCTTTAAGTTCATCCCCTCTGGCATTCTTACATGCATGGCTTCAGCTTAAACCAATAAATGCTGTCAGTACCGCTATGATTATTCTCAGCTTTAAACTGCATGGCAAACATGCACTCACAGCTTTACTTTCGCCTTTAAAATCTCATAAATTCAAATCGCTCCCAGGGCGTTCGAGTGTCAGTTGTAAAATCGATGTATTATTTACCGTAACCTGCAGCTTCATTAACTCATCCTGTTTCCTCATCAGGAACCAGGATGGGGCAGGACCTGTTGCACATGAGCGGAAGTCTCAGACTCTTCCTGTGTCCCGTAACAGGGCGGGAATGATGCATGCCCGCTTACAGCAGCTCAGCAGCCTGGATAACTCATACACATTTAACCACAGTAAGTGCCTCCCCCCTCCCCCCATACTGTACTTCTCATCAAACACTCTCCATCACAGGGCCCTCGTCCTCCTCATGCCTCTCTTTCAACATCAGCATCCTCTTCTTCTCCATCATACTACATCCCAGCAGGAAAAGCCTTAGAAAACATGTGTGCATCAGTAAATTCAAAGAAACTGGGGAGGAAGCTGTGCAGCCGTCCACTGTTAGGCGATGATCTTGTTAAATGGCATTATTTAATAATAAGTTTCTTTGTGTTTTCAGTGTAAGAAAGATTTCAAGTGTTCTTGGCATATCTGTAGACCATGGTAAGAATGTACCAGGATGTTAGGACGTTTGCTATACTGGCTATGTTGATTTGGTTGATTTAAGAGCATGCATGTTTTAACAGAACATCAGCTTTCAAAACCTCCTCATCCCTTTACCCAGCTCATCTTCTGCTCTCAACTTTACATTTTTACATTTCGCTTTGCGAAAGCAGTCCTCGTGAATTATGAAGGGTTTTATTCCAAAATTTCCAAAACGTTCCAGGAAAAGAATGTCAACATTTGAACTTCATGCAATCAAATAAAATCATCGCTGTAGTTTATAAAGAAAAAAATGCCTCGCCAGCTTGTGACAATTTTTCCATGAAATGCTTTAGTTTGTCAGATAATTTTGGCCTCAGTTTGGAATGAAACTCAAACTTTCATGCAGCGGCTTTGCCTCTAACGCTACGTTTTTGAGAGACATGACCATATATAACAAAGGAGAGGTTTTACATTGAGTGTACTGGTGGTGATTGAAAGAACTACAGCCTTTTCTTGTCTTTGTAGCCTACAGTCACTCGGATGCTGACGTGTTAAATCAGTCACTGCTGGAGACCAACATTGCCACTGAAGTCTGCCTGACCGTCCTGGACACACTCAGCATCTTCATCATGAGTTTTAAGGTACCAAACAAATTCACTGTATTTTGTGTATTTACTTAATTAACCTTGTTCTGCCCCATTATTGTGAAATAAAGGCTTATTTTTAAATCTGATGATCCTCTCTTATGCCACAGACACAGTTGTGTGCTGATCACGGCCACAGTCCACTGATGAAGAAGGTGTTTGATGTCCACCTCTGCTTCCTGCGGATCAATCAGTCAGAAACGGCCCTCAAGCAGGTCTTCACTTCACTGCGCACCTTCATTTACAAGGTATGAAGGACTTACTCGCCTTATTTAATAATTGTTCTCCTTTTGTTAACCCATGAGATGACCACGTAAGCCACTGACTGATTTTTGTCTTCTTGACCCCTTAGTTCCCGTGCACGTTTTTTGAAGGGCGTGCAGACATGTGTGCTGCTTTCTGCTATGAGATATTGAAATGTTGCAACTCCAAGCTGAGCTCCATTCGCAGCGACGCAGCCCATCTGCTCTATTTTCTCATGAAGAGCAACTTTGACTACACTGGTCGCAAGTCCTTCGTCCGGACACATTTACAGGTGAGAGAGTTGCCGCCACAGTAAAACTTTAATATCTACCTGCCTTAACCCAAATTTTCTGGGATTCTAGAGACCACAAGCATTTTCATTCCTCTTTTGAACTGTTGACCTTTCTTTTTCTTTAGGTTGTGATTGCTGTCAGTCAGCTGATAGCAGATGTCATTGGTATAGGAAGTACTCGCTTCCAGCAGTCTCTGTCAATAATCAACAACTGTGCTAACAGTGATAAAACTATCAAGGTGAGGAACACACGTGCAACAGGTTCATCCTGGTTCCACTTAAAGAGGCCATTTGAAAACTATGCCTGAGCTTAATGAATAAAATAAACCAGTTAGAATCAAGTTTGCCTAAAGGAAGCTAACGATGATTTAGCTCACATTAGTGCGTCATCTTCAACAGAACACAGCTTTCCCATCGGATGTGAAAGACCTGACTAAACGCATCAGAACAGTGTTGATGGCCACAGCACAGATGAAGGAGCATGAGAGAGATCCAGAGATGCTGGTGGACCTGCAGTACAGTCTCGCAAAGTCTTATGCCAGCACACCTGAGCTGCGCAAGACCTGGCTTGACAGCATGGCCCGAATCCATGTGAAGAATGGAGACCTGTCTGAGGTTTGTGGTGAAAGTCTGTGTGGCTGAATGGTCCTGGTTTTGATTTCTGTGTCTGATGTTGGGCCCAACAATGTTAAACATCAGATAGAGACTGTATTTACTTTGTATGAAAGCACCAATGCCAGTGTGGCGTGCAGTGAGGCCCACCATCAAGTGCTGCAAACTGCCCTGTTTACTATGTGCTGCTTTTTCTAGCGATACCGATTTGCAGCATAATCTGAGCTGTTATCTACCCACGCTTATCTGACCTGACTTGTTTTTGCCGTTTGCAGGCAGCCATGTGCTATGTTCACGTTGCAGCACTCGTGGCAGAATACCTGCGGAGAAAAGGTACTTCGGTATTCTGTAATGGAAATGTTTCTCCTGCTTATTAGATAGCAGCCCTGTTGATTTAAAAAAGAATAATAATCCCTGATCTTTCGGTGTTTCCAGGCATGTTCAAGCAAGGCTGCTCGGCGTTTCGTGTTGTGACTCCAAACATCGACGAAGAAGCCGCAATGATGGAGGACGTCGGAATGCAAGACGTCCACTTTAATGAAGTACTTTGATCATTTGTGCTAAAAATGAAAAAATTAAATAAAATTAAATCGCATTAAAAAATTAAAAAGCAGATTTAGTCACATCAAAAGCTGTTACTATTTCTATTTTTCTTTTATAAGAAAGAATAAATCAAAGAAGGCAACTATTTTCTTTCAGTATGTCTTTAAAATTGGTGCATTTTAATTGTGATAAAATGAGCTGCTGACACGCTGTGAGCTGTGTTTCTTTTGCACTGTACACCAGCAGCTCTCCATCTCTGTTGTGCTCATCCCTCAGGACGTCTTAATGGAGCTTCTAGAGGAGTGCGCAGATGGGCTGTGGAAAGCAGAGCGTTACGAGCTCATCTCTGACATCTACAAGCTCATTATCCCCATTTATGAGAAGCGGAGGGACTTTGAGGTACAAACTCTATTTGTCGGGTGTTGTATTCCCCCCGCAACAGTTCTGTTCGATTCAGGCTAAGCGTGCAGCATAAGCATCTTTAAATCCTGATCAAGTTCACTGACTCTACACAGAAACTGGCTCACCTGTATGACACGCTGCATCGAGCGTACAGCAAGGTGACGGAGGTCATGCATACTGGGAAGAGGATGCTGGGCACGTACTTCAGAGTGGCTTTCTTTGGCCAGGTGAGTTCAACTAGCTTAAACTCATTCACACTTGATTTCACTAAAGAAATCCTTCTAATGTCTGTATGAAGCACGGCAGCTGCTGAGGAGGTTAAGTTTTGTTTTGCTTTGGGGCTTTTTTCGTTACGATTATTATGCTGACGAGCATGACCACATGCTGTGGTGTTTTCAGACGCGCTCTAATACACCTCTCTGCTTCTTTTTAATCCTCTTCGAAGGCAGCGGTAAGTTATGCAGTAGACCCCGTGAGCCCTTGTGAGCGGCCTGAGTCTGTGTGTGGCGTTGGTGTTGCTTCAATTCATTGCACTTCTCAGCCATAGTTTGTTGCTTCGAGCTACGGTAGCAGGCAGTCAGCGCTGCTGCTTCCGTTTGGGAGAATGTTTTGCATGGCACTCATTTACTCATTAAGTGTTTATGCTTTAGTTTGCTAAGTTTTAGTAATGACTGTTATTTTAAGGTTTATTAATTAATTTGTTGGGTGTGGTTGCTTCTATCTTTGAGATGTTTTTAGAAATCGATGCCATTAAATTTCTTCACAGTATAGGTTTCTGGTATAACAGTAATTTCATTTGTTTTTATGTGTGTGTGTGTGTGTGTGTGTGTGTGCTGTCCACACCCCTGTAGCAGTACCAGTTTACTGACTCAGAGGCTGAGGTAAATCAATATGAAAGCCAACCTTTCAGTTGGAACTGTAGTGACGTTTTAGGCTGTGTTGTGCTCCTTTGCTAATGCAGTCAGTGCTGTTTCATGTGCATTGCTTATCTTCTAGCCCTTTAATTCCTCGTATTTTCCAGCTTTAGTGCTATCCTAATCTTTGCAGGAAACAGCTGAAGGGCTAATAAATCTCACTGGCATTCCCATTCCCATTTACATTCAAGACAAATAACTAACATGCACTGACTGTGTGAAATTCATGATCATCTGTCGGTCCTTTGACGTGTCTCACATCAACAATCTAAGACTGGCTTTATGTAGTTTTGGTCTCTGTTCTTAAATGTTTAATAGACGGTTGTGGATAGTTTGGAGTCGGCCAAATTCTCATATCTTTAAAAAAAATGTCTTGACTGAAATGACTCCCACTCACAACCCATGAATGGTTTGATGTGGTATTATCTATTAGATAAATGTTGCGTTTTCATTTAGTCTGACAATTTGAAAGTATCTTATATGGGTTTTTTTCCTCTTTTATTTTTTTAGGGCTTCTTTGAAGATGAAGATGGGAAGGAGTATATCTACAAAGAACCCAAATTCACGCCTCTTTCAGAGATTTCTCAGCGGCTCCTCAAGTTATACTCTGATAAGTTTGGTCAGGAGAATGTGAAGATGATTCAGGACTCTGGGCGGGTGAGACTTTTGTTAATTTATCGTTTATTTTTAGTTATTTAGTTATTTTGCGCAGGCTGATACAGTTTTAAAACTCATGCATTCTCTGCAGATCAACCCCAAGGACCTGGACTCAAAGTACGCGTACATCCAAGTGACACATGTGACTCCATACCTGGAGGAGAAGGAGCTGGTTGACAGGAAAACAGACTTTGAAAAGAGCCACAACATCCGTCGATTTGTTTTTGAGATGCCTTTCACCATTTCGGGCAAAAAGCAAGGCGGTGTGGAGGAGCAGTGCAAACGCAGGACTATACTTACCAGTAAATACCCTGCTTATATTTATGTTGTAGTGGAACATGGATTCAGTCAAACAGCGCTGACTTTCAGTCTTCAGGTTGTGTCTTGTTAGATGTCTCTTGCCTGGATAAACATCAGTGTTTTCAAAATACAGTGATCTGATAAATACAGGAATAACCCATTATCAGACTTCAACGGCTCTTTCTGATTAAAGTCTACTTAATCTCTTTATATCCTAAATGTTAGATACTTTTTTCTCCCTCTAATTATTGGCTGCCTCCTCCTATTTTGGGGGGGAGCGGGTTGTGGTTTCTTTGGGCGGCACAACAGAGCAAGTCTGCCTTGAACTCTTCATTACACACATAATTCTCTCCATTTATTTTAGTCACTGTGGATGAATGAAGATCTTGATTAGATTTCGAACATGTCAGCTGGTTTTTCATGGACATTTCGTAATCCTAATCAGGTTTTATTCATTTATAGTGCAAAAGATCAAAAACGTCAACCAAGCCTTATTATCTGGAGGATGTCACAGCCTGCACAGACCCTAAACAACAAAACTAAGAAAATCTGTCTATTCGCTATTGAGAAACCTCATTGTGTTTTCTCTCCTCCAGCCACTCATTGTTTTCCATATGTAAAGAAACGGATCGCGGTGATGTATCAACACCATACTGATCTGAGCCCCATCGAGGTTGCCATCGACGAGATGAGCAAGAAGGTGGCTGAGATCAAACAGCTGTGCTCCTCCAGCGAGGTGGACATGATCCGTCTGCAGCTCAAACTGCAGGGCAGCATCAGCGTCCAGGTGCCTGCTTTTAAGTTCTGTGAAACGTAAAAGCAACACAATACAAACCTGACATACAATACTCACAAAAAAAATCTATCACATCCGCCCTCAGGTAAATGCAGGACCTCTTGCGTATGCCAGAGCTTTTCTCGATGATACATGTGCCAAGAAATATCCTGATAACAAGGTCAAACAGTTGAAAGAGGTCTTCAGGTGAGATGTCGCTGACTTACGTGAGGGTGTGAGCACCACGTTTGCATATCTTTGTGGGGACCAACGGCCCTTATGGGGACACAGTTCCCGTCCCCACAAGTTTGAAGGCATTTCTGAGGCTCAATGTGGTTTTAGTGTCAGGGTTACAATTAGGTTATGGTTAGGTTTAGGGTTAAGGTTAGACTTCATTTTTGATGGTTGGGGTTAGGGTAAGCAGCTAGGGCAAAGCATTATGTCAATTAGATGTCCTCACAAAGATATGGAAACATGACTGTGTGTGTTTGTGTGCAAAGATCGTTCAGATCTCCCTTTAGCACATTTTAACACTGTTTTTGCGATCAGGCATTTTGTGGATGCGTGTGGCCACGGTTTGGGCATTAATGAACGACTGATCAAAGAAGACCAGCAGGAGTACCACGATGAGATGAAGGCCAACTACAGAGAACTAGCCAGAGAGCTGTCCATCATCATGCACGAACAAGTAAGTACATTAGCTGTTGCTCAGCCCAAGTAATAGTATAATTACATTGAGCGTTGCTAATGCTATACCTGTAATCTGACTCTGAATTAGGGTTTTGGCAGGTAGACAGTGTGAAATTTATTATATGATTGATTAAGTGATAATGGGCTCTTTGATAACATCACTCTCTGTTCTCTCTTTGTGCTGACATGAGCAGATATGATGGTAATGAAAGACGAATAGGTGTGCAATAAAGACAGTTGATAATTGTTGGTTCCGTCAGATGTCTGACAACTTAAGGATTGATGGTACAAAGTAGCTTGAGGTGGAATTGGTGTACACATTACATTTTAGACTATAAAACAGACTCAAACATTAATTAAGTCCTTGTTCTCAATTCTAATTTGCCAAATGTTTCTTAATAATATCAATAGAATTTTTTAAGCTGGTAAAGCTAGAGGACCTTAAAAACACTAGATAGATTGATACACAGTTATCTCATCAGGCCACTGACTTATCTTTACATCCCTGCAATAAATCTGAAATTAGCCACACATAAAATATTCTTTTAGTCAGCTCACCAGGAAATTGCAAAAAGTGCCCTTTGCAAAGACTGAAGCCATTTAACATTCAAGTATTTCAACTCTATTGCAGCAATTTCCAAAATCAAAACATAAAACATTCCTATTCTAAATATACTTGTTCCAGCGTCTGGCTACACCAACAATCACATATTGGCTTTTTTTCTGTTTTGGCTTGCCGAGTTATTGTCTTGCACGCATACACAGTATGTACCGTGTATATGCATGTACATATATGTGTGTACATTACATGTATTTGAGTGTGAATTAACAGTATGTTTGTGGATCGGATTCAGAATGTGTGTGCTTTGTAACATCAATTTACATTATTTGTTTATGTACATACATACATGCACACACACATTTTTCTTCTGCTTTCAGATTTTTTTGTGTGCGTGTTTTGTGGATTGATTGTTTTTACCTAGCTGTTTTTGGTTTCCTGTATGTGTTAAGCTTCCTGATTAATACCTTTGCTTTAAATTAGCTTTATATGTCTTTATATGCTTGGTTAATATACAGCTACAGCAAGCTAGTTAGCTTAACCTGAGACAAAACCTCAAAAAGGGAGGAAAAACTGTTTGCCTGGCTCTGTTCAAAGCCAGCTAATAGCCTGGCATGTTAATTAGTTAATTAGAAGTGCTAACTGAAAGTTTTTGTTACTATTTAGACAGAAGTTGCTGTTTCCTCTTTTTTCGAGTCCGTTTGCCTAGCTTAGCTAGCTGTGTTCCATCTGTAGCGTTATGTTTTTGCATATATACATGAGAGTAGTATTAGTGTCCTCATCAACTTTTAGCAAGAAAGCTAACTAGAGCAATGCTAAAAATGAGATTCACTTGCAGTAACTGTTTGCTAAGACTGTCTGTTCTTCCCTACACACTCTTTTCTTTCCAGATCATTCCAGTGGAGGATGGCATGAAAAGCGTTCTCCCAGACTCGCTTCACATCTTTAATGCCATCAGTGGCACACCAACCAGTGCCACCATCCAGGGCATTCCCAGCTCATCCTCTGTGGTTTGATGTCAGCCTGGGTGAACCTCAGAGCTGCCTAAGCCTGCCAACGCAGGCATACCAGTGATGCCATATTATCACTCCAGAACTTAATCCTGCTTCTCAGCCTAGAGAGAAACTGATGGGAAAAACAGACAAGTCTCATTTTTCTATTTTCTGTCTGGCCACCGAAGACCAATATGAGCAAGGCACTGGACCTGTTTAACGTGGATAAGGGGGCATGGTGGCTGTGTGATGGAGGTGGTGGGGGGAGGACAAAGATGAGACTCTGTGCAGCAGAGATGACAGGACACGGACTTTTTTCCTCCTTTATGATGACGTGATGCTTGATAAGACATAACCTGTCTTGTCTTTACGTGTTTCTACCTGAAAAGACTGAGCAGTGTTTTCTTTAAAAACATTCCTGTTGGGATTTTTTTAATATGCATGTCACTACATTACACCTACACTCTCCCAACAGTCCATTTTTGTTTATTTTGATAATGTTTCACAATGTTTTTTATGGACAATATTTCACTTTTATAAGCGACTGTATTGATGTCTTGATTAATGGTATATGCTGCATACATCAGTGCTCCTCTCCCTGTACATGAAGGTATATTTCTAGAAAAATGCAATTTTGGAATAAGGGCCTGCTACGATGTAACATTAGCATTCAACCTTAAATCACTTTGATGTCTTAGAATGGGAGAGTTTTAAAGTATTTAAAGCCATTGCATACAAAAAGGTATATTCCAAGTTGTGTATTAATGTGTATATAAAACAAGGAGTGTGTGCAATATTTGCAAAGTATCTTGCTGTGTGCGGCTCATACACTGTAAAGATTACGTTCACCTTCTTGCCAAAGCGATGAGGTGTTGGGAAAGGACGCCTACTGTGCAAGTAATATGAAAATTTTATCATTTTATGTTCCAGAAATTGTCTTTTATTTGGGCAGAAATGTTTTTTTTAACTTTATTTAACACAAGTCACTGTTCTGCTGTAAACAAAGACGTTCCCTAATGCTTTTAAATAAAATACACTTATTTCTCTGCATTTGCATCCATAGGTCGTTATTTGTTTTACTTGGTGGTATTTTGTGGTATTCTCGCACTTGGCTCGCTTGTGAAATAAGTGGGAAATAAACCTTATTATTCTCAGGGATCATTGCTGACTCCCTAGCTCCCATATCTCATGTTCCCACCCATCATAAAAATAATACAGTCGGCAGTGTGAAAAGCTGATCAAGGGTTAATAAAAAGCAATATTACAGGAAACATTCCCACTCCCACTAGTGAACAGAGAAAGATAAATGATCTGCTCCCTGCAGGAAGCTTAAAGGGATTTTATGCTATAGCAGAAAGCACGTGATAGCTTCACATCATGGCAGGTAAGACTAAAATAAATGCATTATTATGTACTCTTTCATTTTAATTCACAGAACACAAATATTCTGCTGCACAACATGAAAATGTGCACTGAGGGAGAAGTTAACAGAAAGAAAACAAGTTCCATGTTCTTAACTTAAAAACTTAAACTCTTGAACTCTTCATTCTGTAACAGGTGAATGCACCTGTCAGGACAGATCCCAAACATATTAGGATCTCAGATTTATTTATTAATGCAATTTGCACTACTGTCTTACACAGTTTCAATCTTATTTTTACAGTTTTTCTTTTCTTTGTTTATTTTTTTTCTATCACCATTGTGTACCTATATTTACCAGGTGCCAGTAACACCTTTTTTGTTAACTGCACTGTTTTTTTTAATAGAATGTACTATTTTTATTCTTTATCCTGCTACTGTAACACAACAATATTCTTTGTGGGATCAATAAATTGTCTATCTACACATCTATTGCTCTCTTGTTTACTGCACAGAATGAATCATTGACAGATAAATGCTTTTTTTATATAACACTGAGGAAGTTGGTCGGCCTGCATATTAGTCTCTTATTTCTGTTTTTTAATCATAATAAGAATTACATTCATTTTTGCATAGACAAAGAAGATCCCAAGAAACAAGGGAAAGGTAAAGGAAAGGTAAAGTACAGTTTTGGGTTTTTTATACAAGAACAAAGGAGACGTCAGCACTTTATACATCAACTCCGTATTAATACTGCAATAAATACCAATAAAGCTATAAAAATATATTTTTATTAACTAAATGTTAGTACCTCTGTAAGAACCTCAGTTCAGCACTAAAGTTACTTATGCTTCGACGCTGCATATGCTGTACTTTGCTATTCATTCTTCTTCTATATTTATGTAATTAAGCGCTACATTTTGACAAATTTGTCTTGTACTTTAAGCATTTCAGTGTTTATCTGCAATCATTGTGTTTTTTATTCTACTATATTGATTTTATCAGCAAATTTCTTATTTATTTTGCAGCGATACATTCAAATCTATTAGTAAATTGTGCTAAGATGTTCAAATTAAGCTACCTAGTAGTGCCTAGCAGTAACTACTGTTAACCAGTTGTAAACAGTTGGCTAGAATAATTATACTGATTCCACAAACTCTCTGGGTACTCCTCAACACCGTCGATTCAGCATTATGCAGGTCCAAGTATTTTTTTTGTTTTAGTTTTAGTTTTGTACGATTTTATTTTGGTGTGGTGTTCATCCTTTTACTTTTTCACCACCCACCAGAGCAAAGATGTGTGTGGCTACCCACTCAGTATCTTCTTCATTGTTGTGAATGAGTTCTGCGAAAGGTTCTCCTACTATGGAATGCGAGGTGAGAACATTTCATCCAGAAACCATGAATAATGTAGCCATGACAGTGAACACGGACACTTGAATTACTAAGTAGCCTACTTAACCCTCAGATTTTTGTGCTTAAACCAACCCGTTATTTGATTGTTTTGGAGGATAACACTATTGCGTGAACTACAACCTTATTAGCATAATTTAAGGCAACATCAAAACCTGTGCCATAAATAATGTACATTTGATAATTAAATAAGAAGGCTTATTTTCCCTGCCAACGCAGCTGTGTTGGTGTTGTACTTTAAGTACTTCTTGCAGTGGGATGAAGACTTGGCCACATCCATCTACCACACTTTTGTGGCTCTCTGCTACTTGACCCCTATCCTTGGGGCCATTGTGGCTGACTCCTGGCTGGGAAAGTTCAAGTGAGTCACAAGATCAAGTTCCTCTTTAATGCATGAAGACATTTATCATCCTATTATTTCTTGTAGCCTTATTATTGTGGCAGAATCTAAATAAGTATAGCTACAGCGCTTACCCGACCATCCTCTTTTTGCACCAAGGTAACTTCAATTCTACTGAACTGATTAGAAACATATTCGCAGATACTGATAACTGTGTAATAATACGACAGACAAAGGTCATTTAACTGAATACTTTTACACATAATAGTACAAAATTTGTATTAGTCTTCTAATGAATAAAATGCTCATAATTAAATTCTGAATGTTCATTTGTAAAGACGAGTGGAGCCTTTACTTAAGGAACGTACACGTGTACTTTCTCACTGCTCTGTTTTTCAATCTTCCTCACTCAGGACTATTATCTACTTGTCCATTGTCTATACGATTGGACAGGTTGCGATGGCTGTCAGTGCAGTTCATGACATTACCGACTCAAACAGAGATGGGACACCAGACAACATGACCTTTCATGTGTGGGTATCTTTTCTTCTGAAGTTTTAAATTACTGAGTCACAGTTTCCATCATATATTTCTACAATGCACTGCGCTCATTCATTTCTTCTTCCTCACATTCAGTGCGTTGTCCATGGTGGGTCTCTTCCTCATTGCTCTGGGCACTGGTGGCATTAAACCCTGTGTGGCTGCTTTTGGTGGAGACCAATTTAGTGAGCACCAGGTTAGACTGTTAACTTTCTCAAAATACTTTCTTTGGCTGAGTCTTCTTCTAATGTTTAACCTCTGGTGTGGTTGAACGTGTAATTTCAGCATCCATAGTTCAAGTATTTTATTGCATGTAATATATCCCCTTGTTCCCCCTGGTTTCTATGCAACTCTCCATTATCAAATTCTGTAATAATAAAAATGAGCTCAGATAAATTGCAAAGTCATCACTCACTTTCTCACGATGACAATTCTAAAACTGACGAACGGGTATACCTATTACTATGTTTCTTATTTCACCTGTTAGCATGCTAACATTTCTACATTCAAGCCAAACACAAATTAAAGATGTGGCTGATGGGAATTATGAGTATTATGTCAAATTTGAGGAGATGGTGGTTAACGATGGGTAGCAGTACTACATGTGTGGCTCCTGAAGAAGGGGTCTAGGAAATCTGTCTGTAAAGTCCAAGAAACCTTTGTCTCTGGGTTGTGAACATTACAGTTTAAAAATAAGAAAAAAATCTGAGGGCAAGACAAAAACATGTCACATCTGTATAATGTGCTGTTCATCAAAATATGGAATAAATCTCAAATTAAACGTGAACTATTTTATGATACATGATGTCATATAAAAGCTAAAAATTAGAGTAATTAGGAAGTGAATGTATTCAAGCTTTATAAGTGGGACACACCAGATTGAACCACCAGTATAACACAGCCAAGTGTAGTGTGAGTAATGTTAGAGATCTATATTCTTTGCTAAACAGGTGCTTGATGTTGTTAAAGGAGTGCAATCCTAAATTGGTGGTTAAGTTACTATAGTTACCAAATTGTTCATTTCCCTCAATCTTGTACCCATGTAACCTTTAGAGAACCATGAGTTTAACTAATAGTTGTTATTTAATATTTAAATGGTGGAACATCTGACCAGAAGCCTAGAATTACCACTTATATAGCTATACTAAGCTTATGCTGTAACCCTTTTATATTATGAGTTTAATACAACTCGACCACCTTTTCAAAGACATACACCAACAAGGCAGCGGTTTACAGAGATATTTATCACTTTAGTATTTGTACTGTTTGCAAAACACATTACTGACTTGTCTTTCTACACAGGATAAGCAAAGGAGAACTTTCTTCTCTGTATTCTACCTCTGTATCAATGGTGGGAGTCTCCTGTCAACCATTATCACTCCAATCCTGAGAGGTAGGCATAAAAAGTAAAATATCAAGTTCAAGTGCCATAAACCACAGGATGACAACAATTACATTCTAATAATCATGCAGGGAAAAGTGCTTGTCTTTAGTTGAAGTTGTAGTTGAATGAAAGTTGTTTGCCTCTATCTGCAGGTCAGGAGTGCGGCATCTACAGTCAGCAGAAATGTTATTCCCTGGCATTCGGTGTCCCCGCAGCATTAATGGTGGTTGCACTTGGTATGTCTAAATTATTAGGACACTAATTCAAAACATGAAGCAAAATGTAAAGGGTGGGTAAATAAACTGTATTCTGAAACTAATGATTTGCCCGTGATGTTCCCTTAACAGTGGTGTTTATTGTCGGGAGTGGTATGTACTACAAAGCTGAACCGGAGGGAAACATAATGCTGGATGTGTGTAAATGTATTGGGGTAAGTCGTTTATATAAGCCTTTTCTGCATTCATGTAATCAGCCATAAATGCTATTGTAACAACTCTAAAAATCAATGTTTCTAAAAACAGTATTACTCTTTGCTCTTCTCTCAGTTTGCCATTAAAAACCGCTACAGGCACAGAAGCAATCAGTACCCCAGGAGACAGCACTGGATGGACTGGGCAGAGGAAAAATATGATGTAAGTTTCATTTCATATATTTCTCTAATGTCTTATAAGAAGAATGTTATTTTGTTTACATTCAGTCTGCCTGTTTTGTAGAAACTCCTGATTGCTCAAATCAAAATGGTGCTGAAAGTCCTCTTTTTATACATCCCACTGCCAATGTTCTGGACTCTATTTGACCAAAAGGTGCAGTAAATTTTGTTTTTAATTTAAATGGCTTTCCTTTAAATCACTTGCTGCTAAGAGGAAATTAAAATTGTGTTCTAATTTAAAGGGATCCAGATGGACGCTGCAAGCTACCACAATGAATGGATATTTTGTAAGTTTGGTAACAAAAAATAAAAAATAAAATAAAAAATTGCAGCGAAAAGTAATCATAATAATTGACCAATACAGTGTGTTCATGTTATAATATTGTCCTTATGTCTGCAGGGGACACTTGTTATACAGCCCGATCAAATGCAGGTAAGTTAAAGCAGCTTCTTGTAGCCTTATTAAAGCTAAAGCAGTATTAAGTTAAAATGACATAATACATTTTATTTACGAGGATACTAACGATGCAGTAATATTTTTTAAAAGACTTTCAACCCCATCTTGATCCTGACTCTGGTACCTATTATGGACAGCGTAATCTACCCCCTGATTAAGAAATGTGGCTTTAACTTTACGTAAGTGAGAAATACAATAAACTACGTTCAGCATCTGTGGTTTACATGTTTCATAACACCATAACATTAAATTCAAAGGGTTATTAAAAGACCTTTACTGTTACAGTTTTGATCTGCTATCAAAGTTCATCATATTAGATCAGCTCCATTTAATATTTTTCATCAAATGGTCGATGATGAAATTACAGTTAATTCCGTGTCTGGAAGCTAGCAGGTGGTTGGTCCACATTAGCATAGCTCTGCTGCCCCATAGCTTCTACACAACCTGTGATTTTATAGATGTTACAAATACAAAAATGTCCATAGTTTTATTCATGACTCACTGAATAATAACTGACCTTTCTGAAATGTCAGGTGTTCTGTACAGAAAATAGTTTGGTCTATTAACAGTGGTCTAATGCTAAAATGCTTTTTAGGCTGTTTTGAGATGTGATTCAAACTCCTATGTTGAAAATGACTGTGCTAAGCTAACTCACTGTTAGCAGTAATTTCATTAATATTGAGCCTAAGGAGCTGTATGAATCATGTTGCTTTTCAACAAAAACAGAAGACAGGGAAAGGAAGAGCTTGCACATCTGTTTCTATTTCTACACAATCTGAATAAACCCCCAAATTTTCATGTTAATGTTGAATTTTCAGATATTAGATGACTTTAAAAGAAAACTATTATTTTCACTTAAAATAAACGGGTTTTTTTTTTAAATATATAAAATCACAAATTAGTAACAAAACTTCATGTTAATCCAACAGACCACTAAAAAGAATGACAGTGGGGATGTTTCTGGCTGCTATGGCTTTTGTCTGTGCTGCTTTGGTCCAGGTTGAAATTGATGTGAGTAGAAAAAAATATGTGTTGTAAAATAAGCAAAACTTTAATTCACTTCATTTTATTGACTCTTTGATTTTTGGAAAAGCAAAATCTTATTCCTTGTTTTTCAGAAAACATTGCCAGTGTTTCCATCTGCCTCCCAGAGTCAGTTGAAATTACTTAACATGGGCAGCAGTGCAGTCACAGTCAATCTGCCAGGCAACGAGCCGCTGACTCTTAATGCAGCTCAGGTATGTCATCTTATTTATAACACTATACAGTCTATTAACAAATTGAAAATGACATGAAAATGTGTTTATGTACAAATTATTACCACTGTTTGACCTTCTTAAACACTTTCTCGGTTTTCCAGGCCAGTGACAAATACTTCACATTTGAAACAGAGACAATCATTGTTTCAGTTGGCAGCCCTGTGATGACACAAACCATCTTCTTGAAGAGGAAATCCAGACAAACTCTTCTTATTCCCTCAGTTATTAGTGATGAATGGCTTCTGGTGAGTAATAATGAATTCAAAGACACACAAGAGGACTTTTAATTGTTAAATTATTAAGTATGCAATGTTATATTTTCACAGACTCAGGACTTGACTTCCAAGCCAGAACAAGGTAACAATGAAATCCGGTAAGTGAAATTTAAATTGTTTTAACCTTTTATCAAGTCAGAAAATCATATTAGTTACAATCATAATCTTTATGTGCTAAATAAATCATTGAAAATGCTAGGAACGGCATACACTGATGTAACTTTATTAATGCTGTTGCTCACTATGTAAATATTTCAGATTTGTAAATGGAATGAACATGCCTGTGAACGTGACCACTTCTGCAGTGGACTTGGGACTAATTGAGCCATTTTATTACTCCACTTATTCCACAATAAAGAATGGAGAGTAAGGATTATGTTTCTACTTTAACTAATTTGCTGTTTTTACACAGCAATATTTTATGCAAACAGTACTACAGTTTCTTAGCAATATTTTCTTTTCTAATGATCAGGACCAAATTCTCCTTGTTGAGTGGTTCACAGTCATGCGAATACATTAAGGACTTTGGATTTGGAGGTTCATACACTTTCTTCATACCCAGGACTTTTGTCTTTGGACCAAATGTAAGTCTTCCAAATGATTTTAATATCATGAATTTTGATCATCCAAAGAAGAAAGAAAAGAAAAGAGAAAAGAGCACCAAATGAACAAACAGACAAATAATGGAAATATTGGTGTTATTGTGCTTTATCTTGGGGATTTTCACATGTAAAATTTAAACATTTCCATCTATTTATTCTAGTGTCAGGACTCTATTACTGTGGTAGAGGACATAGAACCCAACTCAGTTCACATGGCCCTGCAGATCCCACAGTACTTCTTCATAACTGCTGGTGAAGTGATGTTTTCAGTTACTGGTCTGGAGTTCTCTTACTCACAGGTACATTTATAGAAAATGACAAGTCAATTAGTCTATGAAATAGTTTCTTTCTCCGTGACTTTTGTCATTTTGGCTCCCTTTTTTGTGACTTTAGGCACCTAGTAACATGAAAGCGGTGCTGCAAGCCGGCTGGTTGTTTACAGTTGCTATTGGTAACTTCATAGTCCTGATTGTGGCTGAGATTGCAAAACTTCCCAACAAAGTAAGAAAAAAAAAATGCAGCATATCAAATACATATCAAACATGCAGAAGCCATGCATGTGCAAAAATGCTAACATTGTATTTGTATTTGTCCCCTTGTCTCTCTCCTCTTCTTTTACAGTGGGCAGAGTATGTCCTTTTTGCATCTCTCTTAGTTTTAGTGTGCATCATCTTTTCCACTATGGCGTATTTCTACACTTATATTGACCCTTCAGAAATTGAGGACCAGTTTAGTAAAAAGGTTGATGACGATGAAGATGATAAAGACAAGCGTGAGAAGACAGAGATCAAGATGGTCAGGAGAGACTCAGCTGAAAGCGACGATGACAGTTACAAACAATCCAATATGTGAACATTTTAAGATAAAAGCAGATCATTAAAAAATGCATTATTAGTAAATAAGAGAAAGTGTACAGGGGAGAGTGTGTGTGTTGTGTGTGTCTGTGAATTATTTTATATTGTTATGGCAGAGGCATGTCTTTTACCATTACATTCATACAAACAATAGTAATTAAAAAGAGAATAATGAAAGAACAATTATATGTCATGGGATATAATTGCTTTTTTATATATGTGAGTGTAAGTGAGAAAAAATGATTAAATAATCATTATCATTATTCATAATCATTCATCCTATCCATGTGTTTCTCATTCAGTCTTCAAGTCAAAAAGCACCAATATCACGCAGCAAAAACCTGTGTTATCAGTTGTGGAAGTATTCTTGCCATTGTACTGGTGATTGAGACAGAAAATCTTATATTATTTCAGGAAGAGTATAATTTACTATTGTCTTTACTAAAATGTCCAATATTTGGACAAAACATCATCTGCTGCTTGTTTAAATAATTACAGTGAAATGCCGGCAAGCTCACACATGTGAACATAAAATGTTCAAATATCAGAAAATGACTAGTAAAATTAGTAAAATAATTAACTAAATGATAAAGTTTGCAATGTAATGTTTTTTTATGTTGGTTTATTTTTGTTTTTCAGTTAATGCACTGTTGGTGAAATCATACTTTGGAGTGTAATTAGTTCAGATGTCAAATAACTGTGGTACCTAATCATAAACTTCTCATGCTTCTGTATTACTACTTTTGTATAATATAAATTTTCCCTTACAGCTTCCATGTAAGTAAGTTATAACATTTTCAGGTAGCTAAGGTAGTAGGTAGATAGTTTGTTTTTTTTCCTATTAAGTAGGTAAGACAGATCATTGGAATATAAAACACTGCATTTATAGTGGAGAGACACATGCCAGGTTTAGTACCCCAGTCCCATGATAGAGCCATACTGCAAGTGAAAGAGTTTCATACCAGTATAACACCAGCATAAGGTCTTTGTTTGTTTGTTTGTTTGTTTGTTTGTTGACATTGATGTGTTGCAAACAGTGTTGGGAAGGTTACTTTTAAAATGTATTCCATTACAGAATACAGAATACATGCCCTGAAATGTATTCTGTAACGTATTCCGTTACGTTACTCAATGAGAGTAACGTATTCTGAATACTTTGGATTACTTAATATATTATCATGCTGTTTACAACT